TTGGGTGATTACAAACAACCATACCAAGTTTCGTCGAAATCAGTCAAGAATTGTGCCTTGTAGATTGTTTACGAGCAATTGTGGACGGACGGACAGACGGAAAGAGGGGACCGCAATATACGCCCCCTTTTCATGTGGTCGTATAAAAATCATCAGATCATCACCAAATTCAATAGTGCACATCTTCATAATGATATTGAGACACATACAAAAGATTAAAAGAATCAATATAGAATTGTAGTCTGTAGAGTGAGCATGAGCCAAAAAAGTGAGAAAAAAAAAACGAACACGATATCAAAGTTTTATGTGGTATCTCTCAAGAAAATCATCAGATCATCACCAAATTCAATAGTGCACATCTTCATAATGATATTGACACATATACTAAAGATCAAAAGAATCCATGGAGAGTTGTAGTCTGTAGAGTGAGCACAAGGTAAATGTGAACAGACGGACTAAAGAACGGACCGACAGGGGCAACTACAATATATGCCCATACTTACGTGTGGGCGTATAGAAAGAGATTTAAAACCAGAACATCACACAGAATGGGTCAAGAAAAGTTTTTTATTAACATTTCCATCAAACCTTTGGCAGTAATTTTTATTGTATTGTGTATGATTTTCAATGGTTAATACTATCCATTCCCTGTCTATGTGGCTCTTGACTTTGGAGGGAATTGCTTTTGTACAGGTTGAGGCAATATTAATTAGACGACAATAAATTCTAATATGAAATTGTTCACAATAGAAGATAAAGTGGTCCTCTTTGTTATGTCCTAAAGTTTCTGGAAATGCTAATGGGGAATCTCTGAATCCAGGTGTAAATAACAAGTTTAAAGGCATGTAACAGTCTACAGTTTACCAAATTTATATTTTAAATGCTAAATGTTTTTGTCTTGAATAAAATCATTTGAAACGTCTTTCACTTTAATACAGTTTTTACTGTATCGATAAGATAAGTGAACCAAGTTTCTTGAAAATCTGCTGAAAACTAAGTGATCGAAGGCCTTATCATTATTTGAAATTACATGTATTTCATCATGGCAAAGCACTTTAATTCAATAGAATTATACACATCTATGATAAAAACAAAACAGAATAATTAAATCACGATTCCGTTTACATGGTATTACGCAATTTGATTGGATAACAGCGGTCATGTGCATTCGGTTTATATCTGTGTAAACGGAACGAAAGTATAAGCTCCGTCCCTTAACGGACTACTTTTATAATTGAGTAAGCGTCAATGTTGTTCCTTCGAACGTCAACAGAGCCAAAATCGACACTTCACTGAATGATAAAGGTATTTTCTAAATTGCCTCAAATGTGCACTCCAAATTCCAACAATATCAGGAATTCTAAACTTATTTAAAACCTGTCAACTTTCATGTAGTAGACAGTAGACTATAAATAGGTGACCTACTTATTTTTGATTGGCTGTTCTCTAGGACGTGTCTATTGTTAGTATCAGTTCATTAACGTTATGTTAAAATCTTATGTATTTATGTGCCAATTTAGTGCCGTAAGTTGTTGTTATATTACATAAATATTAAAACATGTATTCAAATTGCTTTAATTACAAATCAGGTATTTATACAGTGTACACAGGTTTTTTCTGTTTATACATGGATAAACTGAAAATATGTTCAGGTCATTCAAATATTGTCATCCCATGATGTTTATTTTTAACATATACAGAGAGAATTAATTAGTTTTTGATACTGAAATGCAAAATTTCATACCTTTAAGTATATACACAGATTAGGAACAACATTTGCTGGACAAAACGGACACCTGAAAAATATAGTATACAACAAATTTGGTAAATCTGTTTCATAAATATAAAGAAGATTAAATTGATTTGATAAGTCGCACTATGTCTCACAGTACAGTTTAGTGTAGAATTATCAGAACATCCACTCACCATATCAGTTTTGCATTGATGTAATTGTTGTATAATATGCTCTTTGTAATTAAAAAATGTTCAAACAAATATCAATGTAAAAGCTTTCAAGACATCTAAGTTAAAGATTTTCACAATAATCATTCTAATTTAAAATTTTTTCGTATAAAAATTTTTTAAACTAAAGTTTTTTCCAAAAGCGTTCCACGGATTGAAGCGAAAAAAAAGGATCTAATCAATATACATTTATACCTGGTTTAATCAAGATCGGACAAAAATTGTACAAGCAAAATTTGATGCGTTTTTACTAAGTCAAAGGCAAAACTCTAAAATCCGAATAATAACACAATCAAACTTAATGCACTTCTGCACATCAAATTTCATTAAAATCTGATACAAGAAATGTGGACAGACAGGGGCCACAGCAATATACGTCAACCTTTGTTTGTGTCCACAATGACTATCAAACAAACTCGACAACTGAAAGAAGGTCAATTTTTTTTTTTAAGCAAAACATCTGTCATGGTTCATCTTTTATACTTGGATTTATGTAAATTGCTTACTTTGTATTGAGATTGGAGTCATCAGCACTCCATCCAGACATAATTTCTTCATCATAAATCAAACAATGGCATTTAGCACATCGAGTGCAACTTGTAATTTCTACTTCAATGGCTATATCAGACAAGTCTGGAGCTCCTTTATCCAGTTCAGGTTGTTCTCGACAGTTGTCTTCTAAATAATCAACTTTTGACGGTAGATATCGATCTAATGATGGTGAAGGGAAACTTTCCACTAAAATTCAAAAATAAATTTATCAATTAATTTAAACTAATAAACAAAATCCAACCACAGCTGTTTGTCTACTGCATCTAATAAAAACCAATTTAAAGATCATATGTCTTCATATTAGATCTTAAGCAATACTTCCAAGAAAAAAAATCCATAAAGGATTGGGCATGGGGAAATATATTTTTATTATAAGTTTCTTTCTCAATGGATATTTTTCCCACTAAAGCATGTTATGAATCTAATGTTTTCAGATTGACTTAAACCTGAATTTATTACAAAATTTTTGCGAGAATCAGCTTAAGGTAGTTAAAAGAAAAAAAAAGACAAAATTGAGCAAAATGATGTAGAGTTCGAATCTCAATTAAAGGAAATTTTTTTAATCATCTAGCACCAATATTAATGTAGATAGTAAAATATATGTTTTTTTCCATACAAATGAAAATACAAAGAAATGGCCAAAAGCTGAATCTATTGTATCTCAAAATCATGCTAGTAATTATCACTTGAAACATTGCGAAATAACTAATCCAATTCCACAACATGACATGTCTTAAATCAAATATTATGTATTCTAGTAGGAGCTGCTACTTAATAGTGCTGTTTAAGTCAGTAAATGTGAAATGAGATGCCTTTCTTTTTGAATAAGTTTGACCAGCGGATTTAACACCCTTGCCCCTAACCAAAACCTCAATGTTCGACAATTTTGCAGAAACAGTCTGTAATCACCCAAGGATTTTCTATTGAAAATCAGACTATTGAAAAATATTAAGTATATGTTAATGCCCTTGTCCTTGAAAACGCGTCCTATTTAAGCTAGTAAACACTCTTGAAGACACAATTCTTGACGGATTTTGATGAAACTTTGTGTGAGTGTTCGTTATCACCAAAGGATGAGCCCTATTGAAAATCAGAAGAATCGAGAAATATTAACTATGAGTTATTGCCGTTGTTCTTGAGAACACGTTTAATTTTTAGTACATGAATTTTGATGAAACTTGGTGTGAGTGTTCGTTATCACTCAAGGTTAAACCCTATTAAAAATCAGAGAGATCAAAAAATATTTAGTATGAGTTATTGCCCATGTTCTTGAAATCGCATTCAACCTTTAGCTCTTAAACACTTCCAAAGGCACAATTCTTGACTGATTTTGACAAAACTTGGAGAAATTGTTTATTCTCACCCTATATGGTGTAGCGGAAAACTCTTAAATTTTGAAAAATGAGCCATAAAAAATTGTTTGTGTATTTTTGAAGGAACTTCCAAAAAAACTTTCAGAAATTAAAAATTGACAAATTTTGTCACTAACTTTTTGTAGTGAATTTTTATTCAATTTTAACAAAACTTGGTAAATGGGCAGAGACCAAATTATTAATTATGATCATACTAAAACATATTCCAAAATATTTAAAAAAGTATCGGAAATGACCGACAAAGACTGAAAATCATCAAAAAGTTTTTAGACTATGATCGACACTATGATTTGTAAAAAGTTGCAAATTTGTAATTCAACAGAAGTTGAATCAATCTCTTCATTTTGTACCTTTGCCATGTAAGCAAATTGCTAACCATTTAGCTGCCATCTCAGAAAATGCATTATTGAATATAGACGATTTTGATATCTATATGGACTCTTGATTAAGCTCTAATTAACTAAGCAGAGAAATTCTAACAGTTTCATACATATAAATATTTCAAATAATATGCATTATCAAAACCTGAAAAAATATTTGTAAAAAATACTATTAATTGGAAGGGATTATAAAGCGTCAGGTCAGCAGTTCATAGAGGGTTCATGTGAAAATAAGTGATTTTAATCATTTGTGTGAACAAAATTTATGCAAATTTTTAGAATGAAATTACACTCTTATTAGACAAGATATAAATTTTACAAGAAGTTAAGAAGAGTTAAGAAGATTATGTAGCCCATTAAAGATATTTTTACAGTCAAAAATGTTTCCAAACAATATATTCCAATTCATGTTTTATGAAATATTAATGCAGAGGAAAAATAGCTCAGAAGCTGACAGATCTGTGCAAAACAGGTATAGTTTTGTTTAAAATCAAAGCTGCTAGTGGGTGAAAATTACTTTGCCTGGCATGCTATCTTTTCAAGTTGACGCCATTTATTGTATATTTTGTCTGCCATGTTGTCTTCCTCTCTTGCAAGTGTGCCTCCACCTACCCACATGTGGACATGGTACAAAGCAGAGTAATACGATGTGTCATTTCCAGACATACTTCGACACATTTTACGCTTGATTCTTGCTGGATTTTGACAAAACTTGGTTGAGTATTTCATACTGATGATTGTTACCTTACTGCATAAATATTTTTATTCAAAATCAAAGCTACTAGTGGGCATATATAGCCTTGCCTGGCAAGCTATCTTTCAACATAGAAAATAAAATGTCATGAAAGAGCCCATAAATTTTTTTGAGTCAGGCTAACGGAACCATAAATAATTTCTTCCACCATCTTGTATCCGCAAAGCGTTTGGAAATATGTTTGATTTTGCCAATGTTCTATAGCCACAGTAAGTATTGGTATTGTTTGTGTGCATCAACTTGGAACTTTATTACCCTAAGCTGTGGGTATTAATATTATGATGTGCACCTTTTCAAAAGGAATAACTAAAAATCAAATAGACAGGAGTCACGGAAAATACTATAAAAGTCAACATTATATTGTGACTGTTTAAAAAAATTTCATTCCATATGGATACATAAATGGACAGGATCATAACAACATACATAAATAATATGTAGACAAAACAAAAACACCAGGGTATCCTTTCACAAAGCCTTAATAATTTATGTGCCACGAACGTAAGTTGTCACACTTATTTTTCACAAAAGCCTTCATAGCTGTTACACAGTTTAAGTGTTCGTAATTCATTTTACCCGTAAAAATTGGATCACTGCTGAGTGGAAACAAAGAATTTAGCAGATGACAGTCATCAATTTTTCTCCTTTATAGGTGGATATTTTAGTCACCCATGTACAAGTTAGTTGGTTCTACTTAGATCTATTCACAATTCAGTGTTGCCTAATAGGATTGATTTGTGTCAATTATCTATGAGTGGAAATGATTAGGCCTTTTTGGTCACTGCTAAAAAAAAATTGCAATAGATCTGCAATCAAATAAAAGAAAGGTTGAATGCAAGTTATGTATAGGATCATATTTATTGTCAATCTATACATTTCAATTTCTTCCAGTCTTGTCTTTATCTAAATGTCTTTTCTCTTTTGTTATTGTTATGATTATTTAGATGTACATTCGGGGATATTCAGGCATACAATAACTTATGACAACTCGTAATTTACGAAGGCTGTGTAAAAGGATACCCAGATATGTATTTGTATTACAAGGTTTAAATTATCATGCACACATTATCATGCCAAGAACAACCCTAATCTTAATTTTAAAGGGACAGGTATGCCATTTTTTTACCAATCATACGTTAGTCTCTGAAACAGGAATTTTTCAGCAAAGCCAATCTGCAATAGTGTTCACAGCTCACCGTCTAAATTTGAGCCTTCAAATCAATGTGTGTCCATAATTATTTGAGATTGAATGTTAAAATTACGACAATTTAAGACACTCTGTGATATAAAGAAAAGACATATAAAGAAATAATTAGTAAACTTCCATGTAAGAAGTATTTTTAAAGGAATTTTGTGATTTTTGTACATTTTTAGTACTTCTGAAGAACATATATTCAAGACTAAAATCAACCCCCCAAAAATAGCTTATCTGCCCTTTTAAGCATTGTGCTAAGTAACTTATACCTAGGTCATACATCTATCTTCTGGTCTGTTATATTGGTGTTTGTGTTGCCACAAATCATTAAAGGATGATGATCTAGAATCTTCAATAACTAAATCATTTTTGGAAGTAAATTGTTTTAAGTCAAAAATGCAACATGAGGCACTAGATAACAAAAATATTTTTTAGAATAATATGAGGGCACATAACATTTGCAAAATGATCTTTATCTAAAAATACACTTTCATTTAGAAGTTAAACTGATTTCTGCAGTAAATAATAATGTCTGGTGTCAAACAAAGCATTGTCTCAGAAATGGAAATTCTTCAATTTAGCTTATCAGTAGAAGTGTTCACAACCCAACATTTAAAGTTTATACCTTAAAGATTGCCATGTAGTCTCTGCCAACCCCAGTCGCATTTCGTTAGATTTACTTGTGCTGGATAATCAAAGCATTGACCTTTGACCATCTCATCCTTCATATCAAAACCGAAAGTAAAAACATAAACTTTTCTAAGCGAGTTGATACCGACTGTAAGTTGGTATTGCAGGTGAGAAAACGGCGAAATTCCTTCGTAAATAGCATATATTCAATGCAATTTTTCAATTGAAAATATCGTCGATTATTCAAATGCAAATCAAATAATGATGTCAAATAGATGAATTGTAAAAATCACTCTGTGAGCGCTATCTTTGATGTTGTTTGATATTGAGGTGATTTTAAATCTTATTTGATTGAAAACAAGTTGAATATTGATATAATTTTGGCCACAAATAAGAATATTCATCAGTATGCATCAAATTCGTTTCTTATGCAATTTCAATACAAAATGTCTAAAAGTTAAACTTTTTTTGAATTATAAAAAAATACTTCTAAAAGTTAGTCATTTATTTGGATGGTGCGATATAATTATTCTTCATCTATCTCATTAATTACCTGATTACCTGAAAATTACAAAAGGCAATATTTGTTGCAATAATTTTGTTTTGTTTACACTTTAATTGTACATTGTAAAGAAATAGATCTAGTTTCATTTTATCTGTATATAATCCAAAAATATGAAATAATAAGCCTACAGTTTTGAAATCAATGTGAAAATTCATGTGGAAAAAAATGTCAAGGCAACATCTTATGAAACAATTGGTCTACAGCTTTTCACCTGAAAATCTTATTCTGTGGATTCAGTCGAGACATGTTTCGTAGCAGCTTGTGAATAAAATATTTTTTTGGCCAAGTAAAAGGATAGCCTACTGGCACAAATGATGAAATGTGGACAAATTTGTTTCTTGTGAAATCCTGTATAAATGACAAGGTCAGACGCACATGAATCTGGATCTGCTATTCACTTACATCACGAGTGAACCTGCAGGCAACAGTGGCATCAATACTATATGGTAACTTTCAACCATATGAGAAATTAATGAAATCTCATTGTTTTTATTCATCTAATGGTTAGTTCATGACTTCTAAGTTTATTTATTTTTATTAGCTTCAATTTACAGTAAACATTCTTATTTTGTTCACCCCTTCTTTTGACACATAACAGTTCACTAGGTCTACATCTGCAGAAAAAATACGAAAATATACATTTGATTCTGCCTTATTATATTACAACCTTGTTATATTTATAAAATCATATTTATCATTAGTAGTGTGTGTTCATTTTGGCTAATCACTGCGTTACTTGTGGTTTTGCTTACAGATACATTGGTGAAAGGTTGCATATTAAAGTCATAGTGGGATGTTTTACTGAAATGAAAAGCATGTAAAAACCAAAGTAGTAAAAAGTCTGTAAACCATTTTACGTTCGGTAGTGAAAAGACGCAAGAATTTGAAAACATATGGAAGAAAAAAAAGATCTCATCAAGTACAATAACTTTTGTTCTCGTTAAAAGATCAACAAAGGTCAAATAAAAGAGACATGAATCTTGAAAGCCTTTTGAAAATTGCTGTTTTCGGACAGCTGCAAAAGCTGAATTATACGTTGGACATCAAAGATCAAAGTATGAATGGACATCCTAGATCAATGATCTTTGACCTTGTAAAAGTCAAGGTCATCCATGTAAAAGGACAAACACATTAGTATTAAGCCTAAGGCCCCATTAACCCTTAGGCCAAACATTGGTCATATCAAAAAAGCGTTAGGCCTGATACTTCAAGGTCAAATTTTTTCATTCCAAAATCTTTAAAGGGACAATTCTAACTTATTGCCAAAAGGATTTTTCAAATGTCTTCAAAATTCTGAAAATGAGCAAATTTTCTACTTTTAGCACATTTCGCACTGTGCCTCTATCCGTTTTTCAAACATGCTCCAATTTATCTTCATCTAGTAATAGACCACAAATAAAGATCTAAGAAAATGCTAATGTTGCTGCACCTATTACAGTTTCTACAGATGTCCAATTGTTCCAGTCTAGACATAATATTGTATAATTCTTCCTCATGTGATGATATATTTTAGGCCAGTAACTACTTGTCTTTGGACCACTTCTGGTCTCCCTGACATAAAAATTTTTGCGGTCAACAGATATTGATACAGAAAATCACATGAGGCGAATCAGTCCACCAATCAATCCATTTGGTGTAAAACTTCATGAAAGAAAAAGAAAATTAAATAGGACCTTATCAACAACACTATTATTTTCATGCCATTTTTGAGTACTGATAGCTTTTTTATAGCATCTAACTGGGGGGGAAAAAGGGTAATTGAATATTTATTGGTAAACCCATTAGAAACTCTGTAACCAGCCAGGTTGGCAGGTTTCTTGCTTAAGCTTGTCACTTTTTGTTGTGTCAAATTTTATGATAAATTAT